GAAGATTGTATACATAACTATTTAAGAATGTGAAATCAATAATTTTCCCTGCAAAAAATTCATCCTGGAGATTGAAAACGTAATGAAGAACAATGGTAAAAATCCTATTGATTCTTCAATTCATGTCAATTCTGATGAAGATAGAGTATATGTCAACTCTCATGAAGAAAATGTAGATGTTATGAAGGTTGTGACTTGGGAGGCTAGTGAAGAATTTGATGTTGGACTTTCTCCATTTACAGATGTCCAAAGAAACTGTGAAGAAATCGGTTTGGTAGATGATATTGAAACTCATGTAATTGACGATTCAACAGGCTACACATCGAACAATGAGATTCAGAATGATGAAAGTCCAGGTTTTTGTTTCATACAGCTGTTGAAAACTACGTTTAATTCTACAATATAATGAGATCAACTTGATTTGTATCACAGTGTGTTACCCAAATTAATTTCCTGATTTGAATTCTTTAATATCTTCCTGGTGTGATTATTGAATTCTTTAATATCTGGTTTTTTATATCTATTAATTGTAGATGTATTTTGTTGTATTAGAACCTGTAATGCCTCTGTATGTATCAATGATTAAGGCATGGTTGTGGCATTGTTTATATAAAGACAGTATATTGATGTGCAAACTTGTGATACATTATTAAATGTTCCTTGTATATGTTTGAATCCATGTTTTCAGAATACTTCTTACTGTCTACTCTGTCTTGGTTTTATCTTCTTGTTTTGATTCTGGAAATCTTTAATATCTACAATTATGTGTATCTTCTTGTGGTACTGTGTATATAAAGACATTATATTGCTACATTGTGGTACATTTATTGTTGATCATAATCTATTTGAATTCATGTTTACAGCTATTGATCAAGCAGGACAGGGYTTATCAATATCACCAGGTGGTACTAATTGGTATACTCCAGTAGTCGAAGAAGTTATCAAGCCCGTTATAGGATATGTGTATCCGTCATTGGATGTAGCAGAATCGATATACCAAAAATATGCTGAGTCGGCTGGTTTTGAGGTACGGCGATCAACCCAAAAGATTAATCCAGATGGTGTAATACAGAATAAATACTTCGTATGTAGTAGATTTGGTTTGCCATTGAAAAAGTCGTTTGATTCAATGGTACGCCGTAAACATCAAAGAGAATTGCGGAACTCCAATATAAAAAGGATAGGGTGTACAACAAGTGTTAAGTTCCGATTGATGAAAGGAACAACAACATATGAATGTTACGGTTTTGAAGAGGATCACAACCATTCACTTTTGAGACATGATGATATGGATTTGACAAGAAAAGGACGCCAAATGAAATTTTCAGATCAGCGATTTGTTCATGATGCCGGAATCTCAAATATGGGTGCCACACGGGCGCATAAGTTGCATACATCTCTAAGAGGAGGGTACAAATACGGTGGACCAACAATTGTCGATTATCAAAATTATAAGAGGGACTGTGACAATTTTGTCGGTCGTGGTGATGCAAAGGTGTTGGTTGATTTGATGACAAAGAAGAGGGATGCTGATCATAATTTCTTTTTCGAGTACAATTGTGTTGGTAGCGAGTTGCATACTATCTTCTGGGTTGATGAAGTAGCTCGATTCAATTATTCTGAATTTGGAGATGTAATATCTTTTGATGCTACATTCCGAACAAACAGGTTCATATTATTTTGCTTTAAAAGAAGATGGCCTTATTTATAAACTACATTTACTTATATGTTTATTGTTTCAGACATTCGATGGTTTTTGTGCCCTTCACTGCGGTTGACAATCATAACTGTAATGTCGTCGTTGGATCGGCTTTGGTTGGACATGAGCATGTTCCAAATTACAAGTGGCTACTCCAAGCATTTCGGAAAGCACATTCAAAACCCCCTATGATGATTCTTACCGACCAATGTCCTGCGATGAAGCAAGCCATTGCATCAGTCTTTCCAGATTCAAGGCACAAACTTTGTATTTGGCACATCATGAATAAAGTTCCGAACAAGGTTATTAAGAAACCAAAAAACCTTTAGTTGCATTTTAGTTACGTAATTAATTCTGTTTACACTTTATTTCTTACATAATTAATTTACTTGCAGTTTAGTTACGATCTTCTTAATAATACCACGTTTAAGAAACAAAATTTCAAGCTTGTATGGAACATTCACATATCACCTGATGAGTTTGAGAGTAGATGGATGGTTCTTATCCAGGAGTTCTCCCTTCAAGATCATCCATGGTTGAAAGATATGTTCGCTCTAAGATCCCAGTGGATACCCGCGTATTTTAAAGAGCTTCCAATGTGTTGCCTCATGAAGACAACATCCAGGTCAGAAAGTGCGAACTCATTCTTTAACTCTTTTTCAAAAAGTGGAAACAATCTTTTTCAGTTTATGTTGGGGTTTGAATTTGCATTGGAGAAACAACGACGGGAGCAACGTCGTCTTGATTATCACACGAGAACTACCTTACCTAAATGGTTGACCTATAGCCAGTTGGAGAGGCACGCCTGTGAGATTTACACGCATTCTGTATTTTTTGAGGTGCAAACCGAGATACACAGGGCTGCGTGGACATGTTCAATTAAGAGTGTCAATTCAAATGAGGAAGCAGAAACATATTTAATTGAACATTTAGACAAAAGAGATGAGAAAATAGCAGAGTATAAGGTATGATCRTAMAGAAARTMATTTATTATTGGTTTTATATATTATTGTTTTTCTTTGAACAACATTTCGATTGTGATATTTGATGTTAGACGTTTATATTATGCACAGGTTGTTCGGAACTTGAAGGAGTCTACCGTTGTTTGTAGTTGCAATCACCATCGGTCGTCATGGTTATTTATGCAGACATGTGTTCAAAGTTTTGCTAAACGCCGGTGTTGAGACTATACCTGAAGAATACATTTTGAGAAGATGGAGAAGTGACCTTATACCTATTGAACTTCAAAACAGCCGTCAAAGAATATGCGACGTAGGCGAGGATCAACGGAGAATAATTAACGATACATATGAAATCGTCGATGATGTGTTGGATATATTAAGAAATGACAAAGAAAAACTAGAATCATTTGTGGTTAAACTCAGAGAAATGAGAGATGATGTAGCCAAAGATCGCACATATGAACCTTCAATGAAACGTAAAGAGCGTGGAATAGAACAAATTCTTGGTTTTACAAGACCTGATAACATTGAGATACATCCTGCTACCGGTATAAGAAACAAAGGTTGTGGTACGTCGAAAAGATTGATTGGTGCAGCTGAGAAAGCAGCAGTGAATAGTAGCAGGCCTAAGAGGATGTGTAGGGGATGCAATATGCTGTCTAATCATGATATCCGTAACTGTCCAAATAAGAAAAAGTAGGAATATTCTGTTTTTTTATGTTTCAGATCCATTTCTTTTTATATAAATACACTTATCAATTTTTTTTTATGATATCGATTGAATTGAATTCATAGCTGTTATCGTTTTTTAATGGAATCATATATGTTTATGTATTGTGTTGAGTATAAGTTATATAGATATAAAATATAACCGGTTAAGTTGGTGTAGCAATTCTTTACTATTTACATGATGCATGATTAATGGATAATAATTATGATTCAATGTGGAACATTATGATACATAATATAAATTACCTTGATAAAAGTTTTCACTATTTAATTCATGATTTGTATTTATGGTTCACTGTATGATGTACTGTGAGACAATGTGATACGATGTGATACATATGATACATAATCACCCAGTACATACATGTGTGATATCTGTTTTAATAATTACTTCATGATTCGTAATTATGATAAATAGTCCATACATGGATTGCAATATGTGATACCAGCCATTAAACAACTTAATGAAATTACATAACATATGAAATACGCAGAACAATTAATGTATTTAAGAAAAAATTTCGAAATATCCATTTAATATAAGCTAAATACCAGACGTTTATGTCTTAAATACAAAAACCAAGCTTAACATATTAGTTAGAGAATCTATTCCAAACAAGTTACAAAACCTAACTACCATTTACCGTATACTAAATGAAATACTATTCCAGAACAGTTCTTAAATACTTGCAAGCCTCGCTTCCCTGTTAGATTCTGCATATTTAAGCAAACGCGTTCTCTCTTTCAAATCCAGTGCGGTAAACTTTTCGCAATCTGCTATCACAAATGGTCGTCTAATATTGATCTCTGAAAGCAATAGTTTAATAGTGTATTTCCTTCTCAATAATTGGAGTTGTTTGACTTGGTTTGCTCCTTCCGCATCTAGCCCTGATTTCCAGCGGTAAGGCAGCTCTCCCATGTAGCACTCCATATGACGCATCAAGAATACACCACAATCATGAGAATTCTGTTTTGTAGACCATTTCAATGCTATCTTCACCGGATCTATCCCAACAAAATCTTCATACAATGGATGACTTACCTTCTTGAGATGTTGTATCATAAAAAAATGCTGCAAGAAAAAGATAAATATGACACTCAAATCATCATATAAATAAACATAAAATGAATGAATTAAAAATATAGTTTGTTTGAAGTTCCTCACCAAAAGATCCGGTATTTCCTCATATTCGCTAGGTGCTTCAATATCTTGCTGAAGGTTATCAATAACCAATATGGAAGGACGTTTGAAATTGAACACCACCACAAAGTAATGCATGTCTCTAACGATTGGAAAGAATAACTGCAATTGGTATTTGTGTGTTAGATGTTATATCTAAAAAGAAGTTAATAAATGTGGTTACTACATATTAACTCACCAAGTCAATTGATTTGAAAGTAACAATGTTTGCATCACCTCCAACAGCTGCCAATAGATTATCAACAAACAAATCCAGCTTCACATCGTCCTTTATTTTTGAATCAAGCATTGCTGTCGACTGGTTCAACAATTTCGTTGTTAGAAAATTTACAAGTTTGTATAAATGATTTATGTTATTTATATAAGCACACTTACAAGAATCGCACTGTGCATAAAAAGCCTTCTTGGTGATGATTTGTTCCTGAAACGCTCTTCGTAATTTAGTAATGCAGCCCAACTATCAATTACATTACTATATATCTGTGTTCTTGCACATAGGGATTCTATCGTCCCTCTCAATGCAACAGCTCCTGATTTGGTCTCAAATATAGATTCACTGCATTATATAACCGAAAGTAGTAAGTTAATACCATACTTTATCTGGTATAAGTATTAAACATAATATATTAAAAGGTAATGGTACTTACCAAGTTGGTTCTGTTGATGCATTTATCCAATTGCATATTTTCTTCTCAGAGCTTGTCTCCACTTTATCGATCTCCACGCATCGTTTAACATATGGAGATCTTAGTGATTCCCCTAAGTTGGCATCCCTTCTTGATACCTTAGGTGAGTCACATATTGATTCCACTTGTGCGTTTGGTGAGAACAACGATTTTTTGAATAAAGGGATGAATGAAAGGGGTTGCGGATTCTGGACAATCTTATCAGGTGAAATACCTAAATTAAACTTTGGTATTTCAGTGTTCTTGTTTTGCATTTTCATAGCATATGAAATGAATGAATTATCTAGTTCCATATGAGTTCGTGGACTGTTCCAGATCGGTGAATCGACCAGGGATGCACCTGGTACAATCTGCATTCCAGCAGTTGAATCTGGGCTTTTTTCCATATCTCTACATTCCTTATCCATCCTTTTCTTTGACCCCTTAGCAGTTCTCTTTGGCGTTTGGAACAATTGAATTTGAGTTTCGTTGTTCACAACATCTCCTGGAGAAGTATCTTCTTGTCCAAACATACTTTGCAGCTCCCTTTTCATTATCTTCAAGTCTCTATCCAAAGGGAAATCTGATATGGCTTTGTCTATCAACATCTCTGTGCTTTGTTTATGTGCTAAGATCGAATCCATCTTTGACCTTATACAATCCTTGTATTCCTGTATGTGTTATTTTAAAGAAATATTACATCAGTATGTAATTAGTAGAATGCAAACAATTATGTAGGTACATATTACTGTTGTGGTATCATGTGGTATATATTAATGTGTTGGGGAATAATACATCAGTATGTAATTAGTAGAATACAAACCATTATGTAGCATAACATGTCCAACTGTTGTGGTATCATGTGGTACATATTAATGTGTTGGGAAATAATACATCATTATGTAATTAGTAGAATGCAAATCATAATGTATCATAACATCTCCAACTGTTGTGGTATCATGTGGTACATATTACTGTGTTGGTTTAATAATACATCAATATGTAATTAGTAAACTGCAAACGATAATGTAACATAACATGTCATACTGTTGTGGTATCATGTGGTACATATTACTGTGTTGGGAAATATTAGATCAGTATGTGTGGTATATATTACTGTGTGATATCATGTGGTACATATTACTGTTCTGTGAATGGGTACGTATCTATGCAAATAGTTTAATGTGTCCAAATTTCCTGTATCTTGATTAATATACATAATATTGAATAAGTTTCATAAATACCTTCAGCTTATTCTTTGATGAAACTTTCTTAGCCGGTGTTCGTTCAACAAAATCATCCGGTGATCTGTCCTTCTCTGTTCCATCGTCAGCAATAAGTGGCCAGATACCAAAACCACCATCTTTCAATTCCAAATACTCCCTGCGTCAGAGGTAATCCATATTCCACACAGTAATTGCTGGCCACCTTCGTTCAACTTCAAACTTCTTGCATTCTGTCAAGTCCGCATACAAGAGCTTTGTACAATAAAATGTGAAAATTGGTTAGTATACAATAATCAATTTGCTAACATAAAAAGTTTCAAACTAAGTATACACGTACCGTCAAGAAAGTTATTGGACCTGAGTAGAACGTCTCAGTGTTCTTTTCCCTACTCAGTGTATCCTTGCTGGTTCTTAAGCAATCAAATACATATTTGCTCCAATCTATGCTTGATATGTCAGTGTCCTCTGTTATGTAATTGAGAACCGCAGGGTTGCAATGACCACAAGAATTGCATTCTGCCATGGTTGAAAGAAATAGCATCAAAAAGTTAATCCGAAACTCGAAATTTGCATTATCGGACTCTTCAACTTTCTTCATGACATCAGATATTCGTACTCTTTTCCCAGCGAATTGTGATCTCCAAGACTTCTTTATATTTTTTTTTCGTGGTGCTGGGTCTGTCAAATAAATATCAACTCCTCCAATAGGGGTCCCTAGCATATCATGCACCATCTTCGTATTCAACTTAATTGTCCCTTGGCCCAATCGAAGCTCCATCGTGCATGTGTCCAGCTTGTCCACCAAGTAAAATGCTAATTTTGATGGTATGTAATTTGTCCTCATTTTCAATATACCACCAAACCCCATTTCCTCAACCGCTCTCTTCTGATAATCATTCAGTGACTGAATAGCAACACACAGTGGCCTAGGGGTGGTACGGACTCTGATTGTTTGCATCGTACCTGACTTCTTGTTTCTAGTGCTTTTAACGACGACCTTTTTTTCAATTTTCTCTTTTCTTGGACTCCCACCAACAGTAGTTGATTTTAACTTCTTACCTTTTGCAGTTGTTTCTTTTACATTCTTTGAGCTGCTTCTTGTTCTAATTGTGTTATCCACTTCAACATCATGCGTAGGTGAATTTGCTCGCTTATCTTTTTCTGCTTGTGCCTTTGATAATGTTTTTTTCGAAGCAAATGGTAGAATAACCCTTATTCCTGAAGATGTGGTAACCACTGTTGGTTTAGCTGCAAATTTGTTTAATTAACAGTGCCGTTATAATTCAGTATAATATTGTATATGGAATTTTTAGCTATAAACTAAGTGATAATGTATGTAGTTACGTACATTGCCTGTTGCCACTCGTATTCTCATTGTTTTTTTTATTCGATTGTATATGAGCGTCATCTTCCGGGATTGTCACCTTCTTCTCTTTAACTCTTTTTGCTTCCTTTGCACATATTTTTGCTCCCTTCTTCTCCTTCCTGCCAGTATCTCCATCATTTTCTGCATTCTTCTCATTATCTCGCTTCCTTTTAGATTTTTTTCCACCTGAAAGATCAAGAAAAATCAATATTAGACTAAAGTGTAAACTAGAGTAGAAGATGCAGTAAATACAATGATAAAAGTCTCTTTAGAAAAGCACATGCATGGTTGCATGAGAATACACAAACACTGCCATGAGTACTGAATGGAAGTTGGAGGCATATTATTTAGTCAACTACCATATGTCGTCAGCTTCAATCACATTATTCAATATACTTGAATTCAAAATCTCCATTTTGATTGTTTTCTGTGATGACTCTGTGTCCGTATAGTTTACCACAATGTAGCACAACCACAGTGTGTTTATGTTAATAATGGCTCACTAGCTAGCCATTGATGGAAAGAAATGAAAAAAATGTCAAATTCTCTCTTGCAGCCGTGCCATGTTCCCATGCTTAAAACATGGAAGAATCATCAACGAATATAAATTCATAACCTAATTAAGTGATTCTTGTCTGTTTTGTTAATTAACTCTCTCACAATGACAAGGATTCACTTGTACGATTTCATCGTATATAACTTGATGGCTGTAGAATCCCCTGCTATTGAGCACTTTAACTATTACTGCACCAGTAATGACTCACCAGCCAACTGATCATTATAACTATCTAAGACTAAACCAAGTAAGAATTTCAAGGATGAGGTTATGTTGTCCAACAATGAAACCTTCAGTGCCCTTCAAAACTACCAACTAAATCAATGTCGAATGGAAAAAATGCACCATAAATCTTAACAATGGCTCACTAGCTAGCCATTGATGGAAAGAAATGGAACRTTCCATGACACCTGCTCTAATTGTAATGGCTACTTGCATTATTTTTTAGCTTGTATCTATGCTCTATCAAGTTGGTAATCAGTTTTGATGGTAGTTTTGATTTTTTTAGACAGAATTTAGAAAGAAAATAGATTTCATACTAGGGGTTGCTTTGATGGTTGTATCCTATTGGGGGGGGTTAAGGCAGATCATTGTTGAAGCCAAAGACTACGAGTTCTTCTCTTAAAAAGCTTAAATGAAAACAAGCAGGTTGAGGTTGATGTATCCAACTTGCCCAAAATGATATTAAAGAAGATTGTAATAGTATGTGGAGGTATCAATATTCATACAAGGGGGAGAAATGGTCATGGAATTAGTCAAGAAACTTATTTGCAGAAGTTCCAACCCTGCAATGGAACAGAAAAAGATGAAGGTTTTGGGGTTATAATGTACATAAAATCATCCTTAGTGCAACTGGAATTTTGCTCATTGGAGCATTTACAATCCTTTTCATTGCTATTCAATAATTGGTGCTCAAATATAACTTCACAAGGCCAAGCCACAAATCTTTTTCTTCTTAAGTCGATATAAGTTCCTTGTATAATGAGCTTAAGTAATTTAATCAGTTAGTTTAATCATTTCCAGGTAAAAGAGGTTATCATTTCTTTCTTTATCTTGATGGAACAAGGCAAAGCCACTCTAAAGGTATTGCTCC